GTTTAGTATTAGACACGTTCACACGCCTTTCGGCTACGTCGTACGCGATTGAGAACATTTCCAAAGAGCACTGTAGATCAGTTTCAGAACATGCCAATAAAGCAAGGTCATCTATAAACACCAACTTTCTCGTCTCCACGTCTCCTACGCTGACACAGTCATCACCCTGATCGCGCTTGACTATTCTATCCATGTATAACACAAAGGGGCGACAGGACGCAGCCTTGACGGAGACCAGTGGCAACGCTAAACGGTCTCGATTAAACGTCGTTTACTCTGACGCAGCACGTGCTAGATGCCATCATATAGTAATCGATTCCGTATGTTCATAGGCACGCCCATGGATTGTTGCTCAACATAGCACGTGTAAAGTGAATAAGCGAGATTCATGATTTCTCAATAATCTGGCGTAAGGTGGAGATCTGGTTAGAGGTGCTCATCATGAACGGAAGCTGCGCTGATCTTGCTGTATCTTTGAAACAGTCACAATGCGGTACTTCGATTCTTACACTACTGCATAGGCTTTACCAGTGAGGTTCAATAAGGAAATGTTCTGAAAATTCCAACACTTCCGTTCTTGAACAGCAACACTGCAACACTCGTTCTCCGGACAAGTTTGTCTTCCTGATAGTCACTGCAGTTTCAGAGATGTGTATTAGCTACAAGGGGCCTTGTCTACCATGACGTTTGAGCAAATCTGTACTACCCTCCTTAGTCAAAAATATTCCATGGTACGTGAAATAGTGCATCCTCTCTGTCGTCGCACCATTCCAAACTAACCGTTGTTAAACAGGCTCTTCAATAAGTTTTTTCCATGAATTAATGCGTAGACTCAACAACAAAGCTGTGATGCGAGCGCTTTCAGAGTACCCTTCTGCGACTTACAGAGTCGTTCAACCGCACCGTCCATTCCGCAAACTCGACGCTCAGTTAGAAATATTGCTGGTGCTGGATTCGTTCACTTTGTCGCCGTTAAGAAAAATGTCCTGCAAATTAGTTTCAGAGCTGTTTTATGGAAATTGCAGAGTCCTGGGAATTCTCTGTAGTTTTGCTGTTTCAGAACTTTGAGTTTCAGCAGATTCTGAGTGATGGCAGCGGTCTAAGACTCAGGATAAATGGAGTTAAACCGCTCAGAATACCAAAATATGGCTACGCTTCTTAGTATGTGCCTTGTGCTTTATGAAATGATGCTACCTGAGCATCATTCACTCGAACAGGAATTATTTTTGTCACAGTGGCAATTATGCCCCATATGAAAATTTAACCTACTCATGCGAGTAGAGATCAACTTTTCTACTTGTTTACAGTACCTTGTTTTGTAGTACTGCGTCATTTCCGTAATTTATCTATAAATAGTTGATAGTAGAAACGAAGTTACATATGTCACTGCCCAGTTTGAATCAGGTTTTACTGATTAAAAGTAGTGAAGATTTCTCCACTTTATAACATTCACAACGACAAATGCAATTTTAATGAGTTATTATACTTGTGTTTCGTCATCCCTGTTTTGTGCTGTTTATGTTGTCTCGACGTTGCATGAAACAGTTCAGCAGCAGAGTCGATGGAATCAACGGTTCAAGGTAGTTAAGTTGGTGTCCTAATTTTGTACTCAGTTATGATTATCTGGCACAGCAGAGTGATTCATTTGATGCGCAGGATTGGATCTTTTGTGCTAAATATATCTAGGGTTTTTGTTATCCACAGCTGATGCCACGAAATACGCTTAACTTCATGTTTTCGAACGGCTTTGTGAAACTTGACAGGGACTAAGTCAGCTAACATAGTTATCCACACTAGATGCAGGGATAAGGAAAAGACGATTGATCTTGTTCGATAAGCTCGTTGGCATAAACAGATTAGTCCAGCCGGTGAGCTTCGTTTCTGAGAACCAACAAAGAAACATCATCGAACAATTTGGAGGTGGAAGTTCGTTTGAAAATGAATGATTCCTACTGCAGTGCAGAAAATGATGCCTTCTAGAGGAAGCATTGCAAAGTTTCTAATAGCGTTGAGCTATAAAACTGAAGACGCCTGGATTCTCTAAGTAACTCAAAATGATTATCTTAACAAACACATATTTACTGGATAGCGCTTACAATGCTTTCTTATACTACATTCTTCAACGCATATTTGTTTAATGCTTGACTGTGCTGTGAAATGCTGCAGAAGATTGTTATTAAATTGGGACTGATTCATCACTTTATAGAATATGTTACTATCAGACTAGACCACACTGTCATGAAGCAATGATTTTCAAAACGAGGATCTTCACTTCCGGTTATGTTGTATGAGTTTCTTGTAGTTTATAATATTCTGTCAGAAGCGTTCTTCTTTCGTATGGCTTGATCTGATATTGTCTGCTTTATATCATTACATCATTTTACAGTATGCTGGAGATAATTTATGCACATTCACGTGAGCGTCATATCGCTTGGGCTAAATAAAAGCTCATTCTCTTCCTCGTATTGCACCAGCTTTTGGTAGGTGCCTATAGAGCGTCATTTGCATAATCACTTAGCAGCTTATTGTGATCATTCCTCCTCAAGGCATTTTAGAAATTCAACATGGTACCTGTAGATTTACATTCGTCGCATAAAGTAGTTGGCATTATGCGAATGTCGAGAGCCCGTTATCTGACATGTACCGAATGAATATCCAAATTAGCCACGTGGTCAGCGCCCCTGATGCACTCCTGTGGTGCACTGTTGAGTTTGGTGCTCCTTACCAATTGTCGATAAAGATAATGAAGGGAGATGTCCTGATTTATATAGCAGAAGTTATAGAAATATGTTTCTGAGGATGGTTGCTATATTTTATTGCTTTCAATCGTGTTATCCAGTTGCCAGATATTATATTATTCTTTATTCGATACCTCGTACCGTAGATCTAGCGTAGGCAGGCCTCCTATTCTAGCTTTCTAGTGTCACCTCCTAGACGAAAAGACGCTGTCACGTTTTCAACCAACTGTGACTCTTAATCCTTCCATCCGAATTTGAAGTCAGAGTTTACTGAAGGAAATAACTTATATTTAAAGACGCACAATGGCCTGTTAAAAATGCATCGTTAGTTGACCATCTCATGGTAAAATAAGTGTCTTCCCTGTTTTAGAAAATGCACTTCGCCGTTCTTTCCCAGATCATAGAATCCTAGTTTTGTTAGTTGACTGTTCTCCACCAATGACGCTAAAATATAATTAGTGTAAATCTACCACGCTGTCCTGAACTTTACATCTAGCTAATCCAAAGACCGTGGCTTCATTCCAACTCAGCTCCATTGACAGACTGTGCATGTGCTTGCTTTATGGGTATAAATGTTTCATTTCTTCATTTTTCAGCTAAAGCAGCTTTGTTCTGTTAATGCTCTTTTACATTAGCAGTACGTGCCACTGAGTGAACTTTTGAATTAACCCTTGCGGTGCCTGTCACTTAAAAACTGGAAAATTGTACCAAAAGGTCATGAAACCTGCTCAGAGAAAATCGATCGCTAAATCATGATAGACGCTCATCAGAAAGGATGCCGTTTCACACCTGAAGTGTTCGACAGATACGCTACTTTTCCTGAGGCGTTCAGCGAAGATGGCAAGAGAAGACACTGTAATGGCAGACAATTTGCGTCACTGGGTGGACACAAGAAAAAACCAAA